TAAAATTATTAATTATTTTCATACAGCAAAGAGCTGTGGCATTTCGATTTGGATAACTTCCCAACTGTAAATTTATAACCAACAGGTGGTGAATTTATTTTTTTTACACCGTAAAACCCGTTAAAGTAGCATAATTGATAGCTTCTGTGCCAACACAACTTTTTTTATTAATTAAATCATTTATAATAGTGTTAAATTAGTTTTCCATTTCAAGTACATCCGAAATGAGTTATACTAACGATAAAAATTAAAGAAAACAAAATATTATGAGAAATATTCTAAAGCCAAATGCTGTACTTACACAAGTTGCAATCTACAAAATTGAATGATCATTATATGGAATAAAAATAATCTAGTCGGTTATGTTGGTAAAATCACCGAGCAAATTTTGTGTGGATTGTGCTAGATATTTATCGCTTTAAAATATAACTTTTTAAGATAACTGTAACGAACAACATTTTCCATTCCGTGTTAAAGTAAATAATAGTTCAAATTAAATAATAGAAATGATTTTAAGATTTTGAGATTATACTTATTTAAACTTTATATACTTTACTAMAATGGTATAATATACGTCTTACTTARTTTACCTATTAGTTAGTACTTAWTAGCAATAACTATCGATATTTACTAGAAAAATATGATTTATAATCATATATAGCTTCTTTTAGTATAAATTAATTATATATAATTATATTATGTATTTATGTGTTACAACTTATAGTTCACACATACAACGAATACATAATTRTTCTAACTTAGATTAGTTTTATCGACTACCTATAACTAATATAATTTTTGAATTCTTCTCTATTTAAGAAATATGTTATAATTTGTGTCTATATTATACCTTAAGTTTTTATGTTGTATGTAGTATTTTGAAGTATACAATATCTTAATTATTAGTTTTATGAATATTATATACCTATCCTTAAAGTTATGCCTAATATTTGTTATAATTATATGTATATTATTTGACTGATTTTAGAAGTAGATATTTTTTTATTTTTTTATACTAAACGAAATATACCCTCGGCGACATAGGCCTAGAAGTAGATATTGTAGTGTTGGTAATTAGTAGACGGTAGTATCCAGTAATTTTAATAATATATTAGATTCATTGTACAGTAAAAAATATTATAATTTACGTACATTTCGCCAGCCCCCCCCCCTCCAGTATGATTTTTGAATTTTTTTTTTGCTAAACTTTAGTGTGCTATTAGTGTGAATTTGTGTGACTAATTTCAGAATTTGTGCGATACTGGTTTAACCGTAAATTCAAAAATCATACTTGGGGGGCTGGCGAAATGTACGTTTAYAATTGTATTAAAGTTTTAAATCCTACAAGTATTATACCAGGTGATTCTTTTATCATTGAACACTCATTATTTCAAAAATTATTAATGTTTTAGAAAATATTATTTTGCATAGTTTAAAATTGTCCAAAAACCAACGTTTTTATATAACATAATTATTTTAAAATATTTTTTAT